TAAAGAAAATAAAATAGGTACAAGTGAAAAGTACCAAAATTAATTCTACAGCTCAGTGATTATAATCAGCAATGATTCTGCCAACTTCATAAAGAATCAACTTTATTAATCGTTTCATTATGCGAGTGTTAATTTCATATTTATTCAAGTAATTTCCGTTAAAGATGTATCTACAAATTAGAAATTTCAAAAGCTATAGAAAGTTTATTTAAACAAGAGGCCCACGGGCCTTATAGGTCACCTGAGTATCATGTAACAACTTTCCAGCGATTGTATTTGGTTCGTGTTTTAAGCCAAAAGCCATGAAATTCACAAATTTTGAAAGAGGCACCATTGCTTATCAATGGGCAGATTTCAAAGCATTAATTTATTTTTAGTCAAAGTACCCCCTGGTACCCCTGACTCAGCAGCCCTGAAATTATCTATTTTGAAAGAGGCCCCTTTCTTCATTATAAGGCCAGAATTTTTTTATGTTTAGGTTTAGTTATGAACATGAGAATAAAAAAGTCCCGAAGGAGAAGGAAATAAAAATTTTTTTTGATAAATAAATTATTAACATTTGTACATTCTTTTTTTATGCTATCCTAACATAATGCTTTCAAATAGGAAAGTACAACATTTAATTGCTTATTTCATCATCTGCCATTTTGGGCCAGTTATATAAATTTTGTGATGTTGATCAAAATATATTTTAAAAAATCAATTCTTTAAAAGTCTTTCAATATATCTTCATTTTCTTAATATGTGTTAATATGTGTTAGGTGAATGTGTAGACACTGTTTTAAAATTTACTTGATGCCTAAAATTATAATTCCTATCATAAAACAGACAGGGAGTATTGGGGAGTAGGGTGAACATTTTTTCAATTAAGTGTGAAATAATTTTTCTGGCTGATACAAATGATACTAAATGCCTGTATATATTTGTATATTCTTGCCTTTTAATTGTTAAATTTTTTTTAATTTCTTCATGTTATTGTTTATTTCTTCCTCAAATGGACTTAACTTCTCCCATAGTTTTATTCATTACATCTGATGCATAAGCAACCCTTTTCTGAAGAATGATACTGTAAGCTACAACAAAGACCTAAACACTGTAGCTGGCAATATGCAATAGCTACCACGGGCAGTTTAAAACCCGGGAGGAAAAAAATTTACAGACAGATACTTTTGAAACGAATACATAATTATCTCACCAGCATGTCATTGTGCAACAAAGTAGCATTTTATTTGTCCTTTGAACGGGTGAAACGTTTTGAATGGCACTCTTATCGATGAATTTTACACTAAACCAAGCTATTTCTCAGACCTGTCACCTAGCTTTATTTACCCGCGGTTTCATCGTAAAAGCGGAAGTGCGAGTTTTAAATTTGAAATATATTTTATTCATATAAAGACTCAAATTTGACATCGGAAAGAAAAAAATTGTTGTATTTTTTTCTGAAAATTCAAAACCTTGAGCGGAGGGTTTATAAAACTGAAAATAAAATAAATCCTGGCCTTAAATATGTAATTAGAACATTAGCATATTAACCAGGAGCAAAGGATAAGATATTCAAAGAATTCATGCATTTCACTATATAATCATTAGAGCCCCACCCTAAAACAAGAACCCCTGACCCTGGGGCCATAAAATTCACAATTTTGGTAGAGGCACTCTTGCTCATCATAACTATGTACTTAGTTAGTTTATTTAATACCCAGGAGCAGAGAAGAAGATTTTCAAAGAATTCATGTATTTTCACTATATAATCAATAGAGCCCCGCCCTAACACCAGAACCCCTGACCCTGGGGCCATAAAATTCACAATTTTGGTAGAGGCACTCTTGCTCATCATAACTATGTACTTAGTTGGTTTATTTAATACCCAGGAGCAGAGAAGAAGATTTTCAAAGAAATAATGCATTTTCACTACCTACTTATTTAGCCCCGCCCTAGCACTAGAACCCCTGACCCCAGGGCCATGAATTTCACAATTTTGGTAGAGGACTCATTGCTGATTACAATCATGCAAACAGTTTGACTGCTTGACGTCCAGGAGTAAAGAAGAAGATTTTTAAAGATTGCATTAATTTTAGTGGTTTTGGCCCCACCCCTCAGGCCCCAGGGGGGCAGGGACCATGAAATTCACAAATTTTGTTCCCCTTCACCCACAGATGCTGTATACAAAATTTGGTTGAAATTGGTTTAGCGGTTTCAGAGAAGAAGCTGAAAATGTTCAAATGTTAACACACGACGGACGACGAACGACGGACGCCGACGGACAAACACGGATGGCAATAGGTCACCTGAGTGACTCAGGTGACCTAATAAAAAACATAACAAAATAATTCTAACATTTTTTTTTGAAAATCAAGATCCTAGTCAAACGTACTGTTTATCGTTAGGTACTTTTAGTTCCGAAAGTCGAGTATGCATAGTATGCATTTTTTTACCCGCATTATACGATTCCTTCTTATCACAATTTTTGTCTGGCATCAGATAATACCTCCGTATATTGGTTATATCGGTCAATGTAAGATAAACATAATATTTTCGAAAAACGTATTCTCACATATAGATCACTTGGAAACACTTCATAATTGTTCGATTGACATTAGCTAGAAATCGGATCGAGTTTTAGCAAAGAAATAAAGAAGCAAAATAAAGCACATGCCATCGTCAACGCCATTTAATTTCCATTCTTGATTACATCCAGCTAAGTATATATAAGCGATAAAGAGTACAGAAAATCAAGAACACAATGAATATTCTATGTGCATAATAATGATATGCGCAGCTGTATGCGCAGTAAAATTGTTTGTGTAATTTTTAGTTTTCTCTGCTCGTGTAATTTTTTATTTTTGTTTGTGCATATTATACCCCTAAATCGTGCAAAAAATGTCGGATTCGTGTATTTTTCATTTTGTTTGTGTTAAAATCTTTCAAACTATGTGCAATTTTTACCTATACGTGCATTTTTATTTTACTCGTGTAATTTTTCATCTAGCTCGTGTATAAAATCTTGATCGTTGTGCAGAAAATACTTTTGAACCAATCGGCGTGCCATAGTTTGTGCATATTATACCCCTTAATCGTGAAAAAAAAAATCGGATTCGTGTATTTTTCGTTATATTTTCATCTAGCTCGTGTATATAATTTTGATCGTTGTGCAGAAAATAGTTTTGAACCAATCGGCGTGCCAACCCAAATTTCAAATAGAGGTCGGCTAAAATGCGTGGATTTTTGGCCCACGGGGCCCGTGTTCTTCGTGGAATACTCATGGCCTGGACTGTAGCTATCAAATATGTAGGCAAAAGAAAATAGAAATCATTTTTAACACGTGAAAATTGACTATATAATCGCCCTTGTTATCCTCTCGCAACGGATTTCGAGGGGATATAGTTACGTGCTTGTATGATTGTGTGTGTTACTTTGTGTGTACATTATTTTGTCTATCTGCGAAACGTGTGACGTAATAAGGATCGGGATTGTAGCTGAATACTGCTTTGATTGATAGATCTACATGCATATGCTCTTTGTGAGGGGATACTTCAATTTGCGTTGCTTTAGCTTGTTATAATATCACACACAATTAATCCCGATTTTTCAAAAACAAGTGTCACTTTTTAATGTATTGGGATCCACATAATACTCTTATATATAGCATTTTAAAAAAAGGATTAGGATTCAAACATGCATGCAAGAAATGTATGGGAGGAAATTTTTACAATCTTAAAATTATGAATTAATAGAGGCTTTAACAAACGTATATTCATAAGAGAAAGAGTGTTATCTTTACCTCAGTAATAAATGTAATTGAGAGTTGCTGATGCAAAAATTCACTACATTACACCTCAGCCACGTAGCATCGTTTTGACGTGGGGGGGGGGGGGGGGGGGGCAGAGAAATAAAATTTACTTAACTGAAAAAGTAAAAAGTTGACAAGCAAAAAAAAAAAAAAAAAAAAAAAAAGAAAAGATGAAAAAAGAAAAGTTGCCCAAAGTCAAAAATCCTATTTAGTGGTGGGGGTGGGGTGTGTAGTTGAGGCCAACTTTTTTTCAATGCCAATACCTTCCATCACTAAAAGCTGGGGGGCCAACCAACCTTTCAATGAATATTTCCTATAGTATATGTATTGCTGGGGGAAAAAAGTGTGTGTGTGTGTGGGGGGGAGGGCAGCCCTCCCCCCTCTTGCTACGTGCCTGCACCTTAACAGACTCTTACGTATGAAATACATTAAATTAATGACCGGTAGTTCAAGTGTTTCTACACTGCGCTAGGTTAGAGAAAATTCGACCTAACTGTCTGAAAAACAGGCATAGAAAACAGATATTTGAGGAACGTTTAAGGTCAGACGATACGTTCCTCAAATATCTGTTTTCTATATCTTCATAAAATATGAAAAATATGCAAAAGTTTAATTACTTTCTGATTTCTAAACTGGTTTCTAATCTTTTTTTAAAAATTGGAAACACTAAAAATGTGATTTTAACAAACTAAGTGTTTTCCCTAAAGGATTGTAGAAATGTCACCCTCTGGTATCTCGCACAAATGCCTGGTAAGGTACCTTAATTTTTTGTGAGTAAACATTTTAAAGTAGTAAATCATCAAAGGCAAAATCTTGGAAAAAAATATATATTATTGAGGAAGGTTCCTTCGCTCAGATCTCTATATTGATGAACCTACTGGCATCGTAGAAATTAAGCTGCAACTGTTGTGTAGGGCTGTCTTGCGCGCTTTAATTGAATGTCTGGGAGGGGCGTTTTTAAAGTCATATTGTACTTTCTAAAGTTAAATGATAATCTTTAAGCATTTTTATTTAATTTCTGATGATTTGAAAAGAGTTTAGCCTTATTGTATTCTTTTTTGAAAATCATTAGATAAAAAATTCAAATATTTCAAGTTTACTGTTTGTTGTGTTTCTTTTGCGGTTCAGTATAATTTGCTGTTTTTATAAACCGTATACCGGTACCTGACGCCAAAATATATGACACTTAAAGATGAAATGTGGTACTCACTATTCATACACTTCCTGTTGTATGGATCAAACACACCTTCAGAACATGTTTTCACATTTAGAGTTCTGTTGTCTTTACAAACAATGTAATTTTTCTCCCACAAGAACTCCATGACTGGATTAAAACCATTAGGAAGTCCAATACAGCTAGGAAGTCTCTCTTTGCAGGGCTTGCAATTTTTCCCCTTTCCTGTACACAAATTCTGTTGGTATTCACCTAATTTAAGAATAATCCACATTAAGACTAAAATTCAACTCATTTTTCCAACGTCTTTTTCTCGCTTCATATTTATGTCGACCATCGGAAGCTAACGCATCATTGTGGCAACGCACTTTGAAAAAATTACGCACTTTGAAAAAATTTTTCAAAGTGCGTAATTTTTGGGACAAAATCAACGCACTTTGAAAAAAATTTTCAAAGTGCGTTAAATTTTGGACCAACTCAACGCACTTTGAAAAAAATTTTCAAAGTGCGTTAAGAGTCTACATCAATATATTTTACCATGGAGACACTTAGCGCACTTTGAAAAAAAACAAATCATATTTAAGTCATGGAAAGATTTTATTTGTTATTTATCTTTCAAAAAACTTAACCCTAACCTCAAAAATGAATTGATTTACTCCCGTTATAGATCCCTCAGTCTAAAATCTTTATCTTTCCAATATATTCGGTAACAAACATGGAGACAAACTTAGCGCATTTTCTTTGAAAAAAAACAAATCATATTTAAGTCATGTCTATGCTATAAAAGCATTCATATAATTATGTATTTACCTATGGTTGAAGTTGAAAACTTTCAATTATAAATGAGTTAATTAAAACAGATGAAAACTATAATTTTTTAAGTACAGTAAAACGTATGAGAGAAAAAGAATTTTCATAGTTTTGAACAATCAAATTGGCCCCTTTTTATGATAAATGCTAAGTTGCTTGAAGCTTTTCTGTTAGTGCCCCCTATACACCTTTAGCATCTACTTAGAGGAAAAAAAGAAGAAGGAACTTAAACAATCGTACTCTTTTTTTTTTAATTTTCCCTTTTATTTTATCAAAACCTTAAATATTTAAAACGTCAATATCTCAGGTCCTACAGTGACTTTATCATAAAAAAAGTTATCAATCTGTTTTTTATCATACCGATTATTTGAAGGAATATTGATCAATCTTTACATTTTTTTCAAAGTGCGTTATAAAAAAAAAATATTTTTTTCAAAGTGTCGCTTGTACTTTGAAAACGGGGGAAAGTGCGTAATTTTTCAAAAGTGTACGTTGTAACACATTTTCAATGCGATCTTATTCAAACGGTTATGAAAAATTTAAAAAATGACGTAATTTTGTCAAAAGTCAATGAAGCGAAACGACATTCAAACTTGATCTGTAAATCATCTAGATACATTCACATACCAAAGTCCAGTTAAATATCTGCAAGCGTTGTGGCAACGCACTTTGAAAAAATTACGCACTTTGAGTCTTAACGCACTTTGTAATTTTTATGCTATACCATATTAACGCACTTTGAAGCATTTAGTCATATAATCTTTGGTATGTATTTACCTAACTGGTATGAAGTTGAAAACTTTCAATAATAAATGAGTTAATTAAAACAGATGAAAACTATAATTTTTTATCTCTTAGTACAAAAGTAAAACGTAATGATTCTAGAAATAATATGAATTTTCATAAAACCTTTTATTTGGGATACCAAAGAGAAATAACTCTATAATTTTGGCAAAACTTGTGTTTTTAAACACCTTTTTTATCAGATATGGTTTCAAATAAATGCTAAGTTGCTTATAAGCTGTCTTCTGTTTTCGCGAGTGCCCCTTTTATTTTCTATACACCTTTAGCATCTACTTACTAATACTTAAAAATTGAAAATTTTCAAAAAAAAGACAATATCAGTAAGTGAAGAAAAATTAAATTTGTCCGTTTTATATTAGAGGAAAGGTCAGGTCAAGGTCATTATGTTTTTCCTTGACATAAAGAATAAAAAATAACTGTTGCCAATTATGTGATACCTATTTCTTTTTTTAATGATTGTTCTTTTTGCATAAAAACATATTACTATTTTATCAATAACCAAATTTACAATAATTTAAAACTGGATATTGGCAATATCTCTGTTTTTCTTAATTTTTTAGGATATATTAGTTATTTTCATATGATATTTAACTTTTTCTTATTTTCATATAAAAAGTTATAAATATACAAAATGATACAAAAACAAAAAGTTTTGATCGTTTAATAAGAGAGAAAAAATGCTTTTTATGGAATTTTGGCTAAAATCTGCACTTTGATAGGAAGCGTTTAAAAGCTAACAAAGTTTTAGTTTGTTTGAAAAATCATATTTATTTGATATATTTTGAAAGTTTAGTCCCTCAATATTAATCTTTACATTTTTTCTCAAAGTGTAAAAATTATAACTAAATTCATTGTTCTATTATAATTTTGAGAGGCAGAAAAGAAGATATTTTCATACGCCACCATTCCGCCAAAAATATAGTCCCTGGTAGTTTTCAAACGCAGTTTACCATTTCTATTTAAAGTTGAGCAATTGTGATGAGGAAAGAAAAATATGGTCTTTTAAATTCCTTACACTTCAATGTATAAGAAATATAAGCAAATATACTTTGAATGTTTCATCTAGTAAGAAACCAGAGAACGCACTTTGAAATTTATATCTGGGTGGGAATGATAAAGAGTTTTCAAAGTGCGTAATTTTTCATATCAAAGTGCGTTGTAAAAAAGCACATCATTTGAATCGATCCCGATACAAATTACGTTACACAGAAAAAACTAACAAACACATAAAGTAATAACACACATAATCGCGTCACTATATCCCATCATACGTTGCGAGGGGAAATACTTTGTCTATTTCTAAAATATAATCTAATTCCTTTTGTTTCATGAAATTTTTTTCAAAGTGCGTTAAATGTTTACAGTTAAAATATCTTTTAACGCACTTTGAAAAATTTTTTCAAAGCGTTTTTGGTCCCAAATTCAACGCACTTTGAAAAAAATTTTCAAAGTGCGTTAACCTGGTCCGGAAAATTTTTTTCAAAGTGCGTAATTTTTCAAAGTGCGTTGTAACAAAGCGTTTAGAAAAAAAGTGCGAAAAATCAAGTAGGACAGACTGACAGACGGACGGACGGACAGACAGACACCGGTATGGGACTAATAAACATAATTACACGTAATAGCATTAGATGAGGAAGGGTAATGGACCAATACACCCTAAATTATGTTTTTCTATGAGCTGCCTCTTACCCTAAATTACATTTGCTATTTCTTATTAGAAATGAAGCAAATGTAATTTACCTTTATTCCATAATATTTCCCCGCTTTCACTGAAAGTGGAGGGTATTAATTTCGGTCTGTCTGTCCGCCAGTCTGTATATTCATCCGTCTGTAACCCTTTTTCGTTCCAAGCGATATATCGAGAAGCCTTTGCAATAAAATCTTTTATAACGACTAGCAAAAACTATTGTGAACTATCATGTTGTCATGTTGTAAATTTTGAATTTACCGGGTGGCAGTAAATACAATGTTTGTGTATTTCGAGGGTAACTTTGGTAATTAAGTTATGTCCCTACAATCATTTTCAATGTATTTATTCACTGAATGTTATAAAAATATGAGCTACCAAAGGAGTTATGTGTCCATGAACCAACAAAATTTTGCTTATCCAAGAACATTGACCCCCACGAATCTAACTGGTTTCTCAATATGCGCCTTTGCCTCATATTCTTTTATTACAATCAAACTAAATCAAAGCTTATTATTACAAATGAAACTTATTCAAAATTTGATGATTAAATTAGAATGGTTTTAAAGTGTGCATAATTTGACAACATTTCTCTTTCAAAAAATATTGATTTTATTGCATCAGTTCATGAACTTTTTAACAAACCTCATATTTTACCAAATTTTTACTTTGTTATTGTGAATATAAGAAACTTACATGGTGCTCTAGGCTCTTTTCTGATACTACATGTGACTTTGTTGTACTCCTGGCATTCAAGCGTGTCAGTGGAGAAAAGATATGGGTAGGGACATTCCTTGATGTACTCTTCAATCACATGACCAGGACGTGATTTGCTACAGTCAATGAACTGGGCACAATCATAAGGATTTGGGCGTACAATGTTTGGATGCGCTCTACATATTTCAAACAGAATTTCTGAAAAATAATCAGTATAATTAAATCTCTTTACATCTTACATAGGAAGGCAAACACATTACATGCAATAAGATGTAAATATATGGGCCTTAACATTTTCATAAATGTTATGGTATTAATGTACCAAAACTACCACCAAATTTCCCCCTTTGTAATACTCAATGTGGCCCCAACCTGACCCTGGGGGCTATTATTTGTATCATTTAGAACCACACTACCCAAGATGCATCCACATAAGTTTCAGCAATTTTGGCCGAGTGAATTGTAGAGGAAATTTTTTAAAGATTTCAACCTATATATTTCGATGTTAAACTTGGATTCCCTATTGTGGCCCCAAAATACACCCTTGGGACATGCATAGAACGAATTAAAATCAAAACTACCCTACGATGCTTCAACATAAGTTTACAACTTTTCTAGCCCGGTGGCTCTGTAGAAGAAGATTTTCAAAGATATTCCTGTATATGTCAATGTGAAACTTGTATTCCCTTTTGTGGCCCCGCCCAACCGACAGGGTTCAAAATTTGAATTATTTAACGTCTACACCACTTCAGGATGCTTTCACTTAAGTTTCTGCTTTTTTGGCCCAGTAGGTTTTTTATGACACTACCCTATTTTTGTCACTTTTTAATTATCTCCCCTTTGGATGGAGGCGTTTTCCTTCAGTTTAGTTTAGTTTAAACTTCCCTTCACTCAATGATATTTTGTACCATTTTCGGTCAAGATTGAGCCATTATTTCTTGAGAAGTTGAAAAAGTGAATAATTTACAGACGGACGGGCTGACGAGCGGGTTGATGTCGGATGACCAAGAAAGCACACTTAAGCTTTTAGCTCAGGTGAGCTAAAACTACTATTAAGGGTAGATAAATCATTTAAGATATTTTTGGGATCTCAGCTATCATTTTCGATTATCGGGGGTCGAATTTTATACGAAAAATAGTTAGAACTTCTTTTATGTCTGCATCAAACAATTTCATCAGTTTCTCTGTTTGACAACTAAATGATCATTCAGAATTATTGCTTCCAGGCCATCTCAACAAAGATCAGTCTTCAAAAGGCTTATTAAATCAAACAGCCGTCAAGGCTAAAGTGATTGGAATGTTTGTTTCTTTGATTGTTGTGTAACGTCCCTCTCGAGACTTTTTCACTCATATGGAGACCTGTGGAGAGCTGCAAATTTTGTCCTATATTCGGCACTCGGCCATTGAGCAGAAAGGGATCTTTTTCTTGCCAGCACCTTCTGCGACACGGGGCCTCGGTTTATACGGTCTCCTACGAAGGACTGGTCTTCACGTCTCACAACGTGATTCGAACCCGCGACTTAGGGATTAACTTCTTACTCTGCGACTGTAGAGCAGACGCTCTAATCATGATTGCTAAACGTAAAGTGTGGGTTTGGTCTTAGACTACTTCTTTGCAGTTAATATTTGAATCCAATTATATCGTTTTATTATTGAAGTGGTCAATACATGTAATTTTTCTTTTAAAAATCCTAGCATAAAACAACGTGCGCAATGCGATCACTTTTGAGACCTGAATCTCCTTCTAGGTTAACATGTATCCTGGTTGCTTTTGTAGAATGTCCAGCAAATTTGTTGGTTTAAAATATAATTAAAATATAGTAATTGAACATATACACTAGATAAATTGCTAACGAATTAATTCTCTTATAGATGGTGATGTATTTGATATACCAGTATAAATACATGTATGTTACTTTAATAAAAAATAATCATAGAAAAAATTTAAATCGTGTCTTCCATTTTCGAGGATAAAAAAATTTCAACTTTCTTTGTATGTGATTCGATACGCAGGAGCATGGTCTACGTATGAATAATTTCTAAAACGAGATAAATTATTGACAAGCAAGTTGATGAAACAAATATATATCAGCAGTCTCGTTTAAAGTCATCCTTTCGTAAGTTCTATTTTCGATACAATGACCTTGTCAGCAAATACAATTTATCATTGAGTCAAATGCTGACCGTTTTTCATACCAATTCTTAGTCTATTATTTATACACTGGATTGACGACGGATTTTTCCGTTATTTCCTGATCATGACAAGGAGCACACGACGGGTGTGACCGGTGAGCAGGGGATGGTCACTCTTCCAGGGCTCTGATCCCACCTCTGATGTTTCGGAGGTCCGGGTTTGCTCTGCTCTTATTTTGTATTAGTTTTATGGACTTCGAGATTGAATACTGTTCGTTATCTCCATATCCTTCGTCTTACGTGTTTTTAAAAATGGGTCAAAATTTCAGGTAAAGGTCAAAAATATTTATACCAGCTAAAAGGTCTTGTCACAAAGACAACAGACAGACAGAAAACAGACACCCAGGACAAAAGCAAAACACCCCCGGGATCCTTCGATCCAGGGACATTTGGAACGAGCGGAAAAATCTATGCACAAGTGACAGCTAACTAAGATATTAAAGAAAAAACACATTTCACGGCTTTTGAAAGGCTTTGTTTTCGGGCCATAACCACTGTGACGTCACAACATATATATATATATATATATATATATATATATATATATATATATATATATATATATATATATATATATATAATGAAAAAAAGTCAGAAATCACAAATCTCTCATTTTTACTGTTAGCGCTTTCTGCCTAATGGCTCTTCAGACAACTGTCTGAAGGCAGAGCCATTGATTTGTAATTTGTGATTTCATTTTTTTCATTGGATATATTTTACTGTACCAAAACACTGGATTTTTCTTAAATTATATATATATATATATATATATATATATATATATATATATAATCAACATTCTTTTAATCAGAATTGATTTGTAACATGAATAACACCCGGCTCTTTGGACCTTTATGTAACATAGAAAGACTAGCTTTAACATACATCACGTGATCTCAAATTATACATTATCTATATGTTCAATGAACTGTTTGTCTTCACAGATATACATCATTGATATCTTTTATAAAAGATTTGTGACATACAAATTTAGACATTGAGAAGTGTTTATGCACAAATCACAGTTTTCAACTTATCAGTCTGTATCTCGGCCTGTATGAATTATCCTAATTCATCAAGTGAGCGAATCCGGTTGGGATGGTTGGTCAGCAGCCTGTATAACATGAGGTAGTTTGGGTTTGATACGACCATATTCGTCGACACGAAACAACTTTCCCTATGGTATGTTCTTAACTATAACCCGTGCGTTCATTTCAATTAAACGTCCAAATACAATTTGCTACTTCTAATGAAGACTGTACTATGACCCCTGCGTTCATTTCAATTAAACGTCCAAATACGATTTGCTACATGTACTTCTAATGAAGACTGATTTGTACTCTTCGGTTTCTTTTAATTTCCTTTAGTTTCGCAGGACCAATACTTTCTCATCTTTATGTCTGAAGCTCATTTTGATGAGACCAGGGCGATTGCTAAATCTGTTTGGAAGCCGTGTCGCCGCTATAATATCCACCGTGAAGGAAACCTCTTCTCAAAGCGCACGAATAAGATCATTATTAATTTTTTTGTGAGGTTCTTGTTTTCAGAGAATGGAATGCCGCTGACCATAATTGTAATATCGGTACGGTCTACTGGATATAAATCGCACGATTTCTCAATTGTACAAAACTATGTTTGAATTACTTTTATTGAAATGACCCGATTTTTGCAAAACTTTAAAATATATCTTGTGGTAATTTTGAAGTAAAATTAAAATCAAAATATTGCCGCTGCTGATTGTTAACTGGTAACAATTGATTATCAAATTTAGACATACAAAAGAATTTTGTCTTAACGAGAACATTGCCAATTACATGAATTCTATAAAGTCATAAGTCATAAAGGTCCTGTTGCAATAATTATCAACTAACTATTCAGGACATTGAAAATATATGAAAGTCGCATTCCTCTTTGTGCATGTTGGTGATCCCTCTCCCCCCCCCCATATTTAGTAGGCTGTGTAACAGGGAGATATGCACATGTATTTAATTTGTAGTATCCGCGGCCCTGGCTGTTAAGTGTTTTAAAATGTAAATTCTTCGTCAGAATCGGTTTTTGTTTCAGCCTACGACGGCTTGATGCAAAATTCAATAATTATTCCGTCTGATTTTTTAAAACTTAAAGATCCCTGTCTCATATCAAAGCTAGAATCTTGGTTGTTTGTCCATGTAAATATCGTTGTCGCTAAAAATCAAATTTGTAGCCACTACATTAAGTCTAACAGGAAACAAGAGCACCGCAAGGTTGAGCACCCTACAGCATTCCGGTCCATGCAAATTACGTCATGTCTATTAGCACTAACTCAAAGTGTAACTCCAAACGAGGACACAAGTTTGCATGCGCTATTACTGTATCTCCATATAAGGTACATGTACTTTACCCAGCTGTTATATAATGGATAATAAAGTAAGGGAATTGTGTATCTTACACACTTAAACAATAATTATAACCTTTATTTAAGTAGTAACTCTTATCCAAGTACATCATCATGTGCATGTAACCGAATAGTAGTTTTACAAACTGACACTCATTATGTTTGACTGTTAACCCCTTTACTGGGTACTTATCAACAACACTTTTTGAAAGAAAGAGAGAGGGTTTATTTAACAAACACTCACGTTGGTTACTTTTTTGACATTTCTTTTCTTGAGAACTGAATATTTCTCCATCAGGACAAAACATGATTCCAGTAGCCATGCCATTTTTACACACAACAAATCTACTGGAGACTTCTTCTCCGGGCATAACATTGGCACCATCTTCCCTGTCCTTGCATAGAGAATAGCGTTCCTCGCATGGAATACAATCAGGTGTCCTACATTTACTCAGGGCATAGTCACCTTTATAAGACAAGATAAAGTTAGAAAAAAATACAAGAGGCCCACGGGCCTTATAGGTCACCTGAGTAACATGTAACAACTTTCCAACAACTGAATTTGGTTTGACTATTTTAAACCAAATGCCTTGAAATTCACAATTTTGAAAGAGGCACCATTGTTTATCATAACTATACATTTAGCATGCTTAATTTGGTTACTTAATACCCACAGGGAGATCAGAGTAACAGAAAGAAAATGCATTTCCACTTTATAACCACCAGTTGTGCACACCAACCCAAAGGAACCACTGACCCTGGGGCCACATATTTTAAAATTTTATAAATTTTATAAATTTCATTTCATCAGAAATGGGTGATTAATATCAAAGAACGGATTTCAAAGTATTACTTTATTTTCAGACTATGTAACCCTCCCCACCCCCCATCCCGCAGTACCCCTAATGCAGGGGCCCTGAAATTAACCATTTTGGAAGAGGCATCTTTCTTCATCATATATATATACTTAGATCATTGGCATTATACCAAGGAGCAAAGGAAAATATTTCCAAAGAATTCATGTGTTTTCACAATAAAATCATTATAGAGCCCTGCCCTAACACCAGAACCCCTGACCCAGGGGTCATGAAATTCTCAAATTAGGAAGAAGCATCCTTCCTCATCATAACTATGTACATAATTCAGTGGTTTTATACCCAGAAGCATAGGAGAAGATTTTTTAAAGAATTTATGCATTTTCAATCAATAATCAACAGAGCCCCACCCTAACACCAGAATCCCTGACCCTGGGGCCATGAAATTTACAATTTTGGAAGAGGCAATTTTATTCAACAATATTATGTACTTAGTTATCTTATTTAATGCCCAGGAGCAGAGAAGAAGATTTTCAAAGTAATAATGCATTTTCACTATATAACCTGTTTAGCCCCGCCCTAGCACTAGAACCCCCGACCCTGGGGCCATGAATTTCACAATTTTGGTAGAGGACTCAATGCTGATTACAATCATACCAACAGTTTGACTGCTTGATGTCCCGGAGTAAAGAAGAAGAATTTTAAAGATTGCACTAATTTTAGTGGTTTTTGCCCCACCCCCAGGCCCCGGGGGGGGGGGGGCAGGGACCATGAAATTCACAATTTTTGTTCCCCTTCACCCATAGATGCTATATGCCAAATTTGGTTGAAATTGGTTCAGTGGTTTCAGAGAAGAAGCTAAAAATCTTCAAATGTTAACGCACGACGAACGACGCACGACGACGGACGAAAACAGATAGCAATAGGTCACCTGAGTTTACTCAGGTGACCTAAAAATACAAGAGACCCAAGGGCCCTGAATTGTACTTTTGATAAATTGTGCAACTTATCTCTATTTGAAGTCTCTTAGAATTCTTTATATCTAGATAATGCCTTAAATTCAAAAAGTGTGTCATTTTGACCTTCGTTTTAGTTAACATACTTTGAGAACTCAAAATGCCAGAACGGACAAAATTTAATGAGTCTAAATTAATCAGTAATCAAAGAAATAATTCATTTTCACTACATGTATATAATCTATATAGCCCCGCCCTAACACTAGAACCCTTGAGCCTGGGGCCACGAAATTCACAATTTTAGAAGAGGCAGCCATATTCAACTTCATTATTTGATGCATATGATTAGTTTATTTAATGCCCAAGAGCAGAAAAGAATATTTTCAAAATCATTCATTTTCATTATAGATGGTTTTCCATTGGGGTAATTTTAGCAAGAGTTATTCCCCATGGTCGCCATGCTGTAGGGCAATATACCCAGATCCCTTTATTATTCAACCAAGTTAAATATGTTATGCTGGTTATTGAGATAAAGATAAAATCATAATCTTGAGATTGTAAATATTTTCATCCATATATTTCTGGCATTTCTGCATGTTTAAAATCGGTTGCTCAAAGAGGAAAATTCACTGCTTTGCCCTACAGGATGGTGGCCAAGGGGAATAACTCCGAGGCAAAATATGTGAAAGAAAAACCATCTATATAATCTATATAGCCCCGCCCTAGCTTTGACCCCAGGCCCTAGGGGGAGAGGGACAATGAAATTCATAATTTGGTTTCCCTTCACCCATAGATGTTTTCTACCGAAATCAGTCAAAATTGGTTCAGCGGTTTCAGAGAAGAAGCTAAAAATGTTCAAATGTTATCACATGACGCACGACGAGGGACAAAAACAGATAGCAATAGGTCACCTGAGTTTACTCAGGTTCAATGCCTTATAAAAAAAAAAATTGGAGGAGATGCTGAAAAAATGGTGACAAAGACTGAAGCTAAATACGACAAAGGATCAGAGCAATGCATGAGGGATATAATCCTACATTTTGAAAAGACAGTAATTAAATATAAATCCGTATTTTCAAGCTAGAACCGAATTACTATCAATGTTGCCATTTATTTAATACTTAAAATATTTCAATATAACCATAAAGTTTCAAAAATAGATCACCGTGAATTATTTTTCAATGCGATTGTCTCTGATAACATGTCTGATGACAAAATACTATCTACAGACAGACAGACATTCTGATTCCAATACACCACCTTAACCTCGTTTGCAGGATACATAATAAATAGAAGAAGAAACAGCAAAACCAAAGTGTTCCAGCTTTGTTTGAAGAAAATAATACCCGATTTGAACACTCACATGGTTTAACAGGTATATATTGATTGAAACAGGAAACAGAATCTGGACTTGCACACTTCATGGAGTTTTTATCAAATAGTTGTGGATAAGTGCATTCATGAATGTAACTTCCAAGCATTGTATCCCTCATTCGACAATCAAAATATTGCCCACAGTTTTCAGGGTATGGAACAATTGCATGTGGATGAAATTCACAGTATCTATTAATGTTACCTGAAATTTAAGTTCAATGACCTTAAAACTGATAAACAAGAATGTTCCCCTATAGCTTTTAAAAAAGTAAGTGTATTTAACTTATAACTGAATAAGACATTCCAGAGAAATAAACTTTCTTTCAACTGCTTTTAGATAAATTTACTGAATGCAACTTTCAATTTCTGTTAGCAAAATCTTTGAAAGAAAGGGTCTTTTATTACTTTTGTCCACATCTGCAACACAGTCCCCATGAATTGGATCAAAAACTCCTCTTCCACAATTGCCAACTCTAATTGTTCGATTTTTGAAGCATTCAATATACCAGGCTGTCCAGAGATGACCTGGGAAGGCCCTCTCCCCATCAAGATGCCCAATACAACTAGGAAGTCGTGATGGACAAGGCAAACAGTTTGGATCAGAATATGAGCAAAGATTCTGTTGATATTCACCTGTAAAGTAATATTATCTAAAACTTTATTGCGAAACAATTTTTTTTTTCATATAAATTCGATAATAGTTGAACTGAAATTTTTGAGACTTCATGAATGTGAAAATTATAACTTACAAGGTGCCTGTGGTTCATATCTGACCCCACATTGGACAACTTCAAAATTGACACAGGCCCTTTGAAGAATAGAAAATAGGGATGGGTAAGGACATTCCTGAGACGAAGGGTTGGTAACATCTATGGAGCAGTTGTAATATCTTGCACAATTAGATGGGTCTGGAATCAACCCTTGTCTTCCATTTCGACATATACCTGTATAGATTGCTGTAAAAATATGAAAACAACCAAAGTAGTAACGCCAATGGGTCAAACCACTCACCCTAGTCATATGACCATTCTGTAAAAATAAAATATAATAACCTTTATTTATCCATGATAACACAATTAGCATAGAGATTGTTTCATTGTGGTCCTGCATTAAAATAGATAAGATTCTTTCTCCTACGTAATTTTATTAGCTAGAGGACTGACACGGCTATCCAAAACAACTAAAATATATGTTTCAAGCTGTTTGGTTTGGTATCAGCTTCTTTTTTTTAGGTTAGATTCAGACCTGATTTATATACTGATGGTAGAAAAGAAACTCCATCGATAAATTTCGCATAAAGCTAAAAGAATATTGTTATACAGCGTAGTTATAAGCGGTTAATAATCGGTGAAGGTGGTGATATTAATGACAATAGACGTGGACAACAAATAAAGATCATGCCCTCTCTTCTCCAATAAGTCTTCAGTTCATATATTTAGTCATTCTTTAGATACCGAAGCGACAAAATTTTATTTTAAAATTAGAAAAGTGTCCATAACTTGGAACTGAATTGATTGATTGTACATTGTTTAACGTTCCTCTCGAGAATTTTTCACTCAAATGGCGACGCCACCACTTGCCGGTGGAGAGCTGCAAATTTTGTCCTGTACTCGGAACTTAGGGCTGTTGAGCAGGGAGGGATCTTCCCATTTCGTGTCTGCACCTACTGCGACACGGGGCCTAGTTTATTCGGCCTGATCCAAAGGTCTACATTGGAATCAGAAGCGATTTATTCCTGAATTCTTCAAAATGTAACAATGGCATGTAATTTTAGCGCATTATTGCTGAAAGCTTGACAAAAAACTAAAGAATAGTTCTCCAGATATCGCGTGCACAAAATTTGTCGAAAAAATAAGAATATTAATAATAACTAGAGCCGAGCTAGTTGCAAAACAACGAGTAGATCTTCCGTCCAGTTTGACCAGAAATGATGTCAGTATAAATTAATTTAAAAGCGTATACAGTTACTTTGATCCTTTATAGCCGAACCCTTAAATTTTGTGTGATAACTGTAAGACTAAGCCGTTTCTAGCTACTCCCGATTTGACCGGAAGGGATGCCGATGGATAATATAAATGCCTGGACGGATCTTGTAACAAAAATCTTTCAATAGCTTTTCGATACAGTCAATACTATACATTTTCTGACTACTTCCGGTTTGGTCGGAAGTGGCGATATGAGACGATCTTTTATTATCTCACTAGATGCTCCTTATTCTGCTCTATCTGAAGGAAAACAATTAATTTATTGGGGTGTTTATACGTATCCTAATGAGATGAAATATAATCAACTTTCAGTCTACTAGATACGAAAGATTCTTTCGGAATATTTTGTTACAATAACATGGCTTTTGTATTTCTTAATACAAGCAAGTTAATGTCAGCTAGGGACTAAATTAAAAGCCGTTCTCTGCAATAACTTGAACATTATTTTAGGACTGAAACATTTGGAGATAACGAAGAGTATTCAAGATGAAAAGTCCATAAAATAATACAAAATAGGAGCAGAGCAAACCCGGTGCTCCAAAACATCAGAGGTGTGGCACGCATAGTCTTAGAATTTCTCCAAACTCTCTATGATAAAAGAATGAAATACCCTTAAATAAAATCGGGCAAAACATGGTTGCTATGTGTTATAGTTACTATGATAACATGTCTTAAATTCTGAAAAATTGTCTTTT